GGCCCGGAGACCCCGCCCCAGCCACTCACCCGGGCAGCGGTCCGGCCGCGCGGGCCGCCCCCCGCACAGTCGCACCTTGGACAGCAGGATGAGGAGCTGCTTCTGGCAAAGGGACTTGGTGCCGCGGGGACACACGCGCCGCTGCGCCGACACGGGCCGGCTGCCCCCGGGCTCGTGGACCTCCCGCTTCTGCCGGATCAGGCTGCTGGCCAGTGCCGCCATGGCGCCCCGGGAGGAGACACCCCAAAACCGGCAGGCTCCCGGAGCGCGCTGGGCCCCCCCGGAGAAGCCCGCTCGCTCACCAGGACATGCTCTTGACTCTCCGGTCCGACTCACCGCCTCACCCACGGGACCTGAGGATAAGACCTAGACGACCCCCACCCCAGGCACCAGCTCCCACCCTTGGGCCTCGTGCTAGCTTCGCCAGATCCAGCAGCCTATATACCTCTCAGTTGACGCCCCCCTCGACCTTTGCCCTCCACAGAAAACTCCCCCTTCTCTGATCTCCAGTGTCCCTGTCCCCCACTAACACTATCCCAAAGCCAAGACCCTCAAATTTTCCAGGATGTGGCACGTTTCCCAGGCACGTTTCCACCCTATTTCCGGGATCTGCACTCCTGCCAAAGCCACTCTTGTAATTTTAAGGGTGTGGGTCCTTAGCTTTGGGGATATTAGCTCACCCCACCCCTGCTGGGGTGCTGCCAGTGTCTAGGAAGAACCCAACCTTGGTGTCTTTTCCTTTGCCACCCTCTAAGTGAAGAATCCCCCACTTTTTTCACTGAAATCCCCCAAAAACTCTACCTTGAGATATCCAGACTGTCGCCAATCAGCAAGAAGAGGTTCCCAGACCCTGTCTCTGGACGATACCGCTTTTTACCAAGTCACCCCCATTTCTAGTGGCACAGCGTTCCAGCTGCTGAGCCCCTTTCCTCACCTTGTTACCATCCACTCCTTTTGAAGTCACCTCCAAATCCGCCCTTCCTAGTGGTTACACCAGGTGGTTGTCTGGAGGGCCCTGTGTCACCTCGGAATAAGGAGCATAGGTTTTTGGCTTGTTTCTTTCTGGCAGCCCCTAATTTCCTCGGGGACAGCTGGTGCTGTTTAGATCCCACGCCCTCCAATCCAACCAGCCCCCCGAGAGAGGAGTGCACCCACGTTGTCACGGGTCCCCAAATGTGAACAGACCCGCTGTAAGTCAGAGCGCACCAGAGGTTTCTGCGACAGGGCTTCCTTGTCCTCCCCGGGACTGCCTATAGCACCCCCTCTTCCTTCCCCGACGCCCCTCAACCTGTCCTGTCTTGTCGATCCGGGGACGGCTGGCGCTGGCTCCGGTTCCAGGCTCCTCCCTCCCTGTACCCCGCAAGCGGAGCTTCCCCCCACGCCCGGCTAGGCGTCCCGGACCCCAGGAAGGATTGAGGGTGTCTCCGCAGAGCGCCCTGGTCTGGCGAAGTGAGCACTGGGCCTGGCGGCTGGGCCAAGCGGAGCGGCGGCAGCGGCGGCAGCGGTAGCGGCTGTGGGAAGCTGAGGCGGCGGCGGCGACAGCGGCTCCCCCCTCCTCCGAGAGCCGGCCCGGGGGCGGGGCAGGGGCGGAGACGCCGGGAAAGAGGCGGGGGGTGAAGCTGGGCGGGTGGAACCCCGGGGTTCCTTAGAGGCAGGGAGTGGCGAAGGTCTTAGAGACAGGCGGAGCCGAGGCAAGGCCGCATGTCTCGGGGTTCAGAGGAAGAGGCACAAGGAGGCGACTCCACTGAATGGAACTCTGGATGGGGGGAGAGGTTGGGCTTAGATAGATGGAATGGCGGATGCCCGGAGAATGGAGAAAGGGACCCTACTGCCCGGGATGGAGGACAGAACTGGATGAGGAAGGTGGGGGGAATAACTGAAGAGATAGCGGTGGTGGTGAGGTCTAGCCTGGGGTGAAATCCGGCCTCCTTAATGTCTCTGCTTTTGTGTGAGACAAATTGGTCAGTCCCTGGTCTCCATACCTTTCTCCTTTACACGTTTTTTCAGCAAATATATTACCCCCATCCCTATTGACTCCTAAGAGAAAAGACCATAAGAACTGGCAGGAGATGGATGCCAGACGCTGCACCGGAGTGGGAGGGGTGCTGGCCACAGATTTGGAAAGTGGAGAGGCCAGAATGGAACGACCTGTGCCAGGGATGGGGCGGGAGGAGGGTGGGAGGAAGCGGAGGAACCGGCGAGGAGGCCTTCTAGAACGGGCTCTTCGGGCCCAAAGCGCTCAGCCTGTCTCCCAGGTGAGGGGAGAGCAGTCCCCTCCACATCCCGCTGGCCAACAGAAGCACATTCCAGGTTAGTAGGAACAGCGTCTTTAATGGGCCCCGCCTCCCACGCCGGCTAAGCCGCCCCCCTTGCGTGCAGCCTTGGCCTCTTCCACAGCGGCGCGCAGGGAGCGGGCAGGGTCCCTGCGAAGCAGGGCCAAAGCCCCGAGCAGCGAAGCGGCGCCGTCCCCCGCACGGAGCTTTTGGCCACTCAGAAAATAGTGGGGCAGCGTCCCGGCCTCGAGCACCCGGCCCAGCTCATCCAGCAGCCCGAGGCAGCAGGCGCCCGCATTCTCTGGTCGCGCCAGATAGAGCGCGGGCAGCCGCTCGCACGCCCAGTAGAGCAACGTCCGCAGGAGGTAGGGCGCCGCGACCCTAGTCCCGGCCACCAGCGGGCGCAGCAGCGCCTGGGCCGCCGCGTGCGCTTGCAGCAGGGGAACGGGTATGCGCGTCTTGAGCGCCAGCTCTTGGCGGGCGAAGCAGAGCTGCCAGCCAGAGGCGTCCGGTCGCTCTGTGCCGCCGCCGCCGCCGCCGGGCACCAGGTAGAAGGAAGACGACTTCGAGGCCAGCGGGCCGGCCCACGAGTGGCTCCGAGCCCCCTGGGGCCAGCCGGCCACGGACACCACGGGGATCAAGTCGAAAAGCAGGAGGCGGCGCGGGGGCCCAGGCGTAGCCAGGAGGATGGTGGTGACCCCCGCGTGGCGGGCTGCGTGGACCAAGCGCGGGGCACCCGGGACCGGAAACAGGGACTCAGCGACCGCAGCCAGCGAAGCAAAGAACCAGGCAGCCACCTGGGCGGGGCACAATGTGGGCCATGCCTCCGGAGCCTCTGACGGCTGTGGCACTGGGCTAAGGTCGGCTGCTTTGGTGTCATCACCATTCGTTTTTTTCAGTGGTGAGGGAAAGTCAACATCGGTTACGTCTTGTTGAGGCAACTCTGGCACTGAAACATTACTGGGTGAGTTTTCCAAAGACTCGTGTGCCTCAGGCTCAGTGACGTCACCGTGTAGCTGGTCCACGGAGATTTGCGGATCCTTGGGAGTTTCTTTGCTTTGGGCTGGGTGGATCGAATCACGTCCTCCTGGGACTGGGGGTCCTAGGCAATCCTGCCATGCCTCCCGGACCGAGGTTCCGCGTACCTGCTCTGGGAGGAAGAGCCATGCATAACAGGATCCCACGTCCGGTTGCAGCTCCTGCCCAGTGCCATCTAGCGAAAGCACGGGCACCAGGAGTGTGAAGCCGGCGTCGTAGTGAGGTCCCCGAGCGTAGGGACCTAGAGGCGCAGCCCCCAGATCCAGGGAGCCCTCGCGAATCCCGCCACGAAGCAGCAAGAGCTCTGCCTGAGGAGGAAAGCGAGGGTCCCGGCGGTGAACGACACCTAAGGAAAGAGAAGGGATCGTAAAGGCGTGATCCAGAGCCGGGGCGGGGTGAGGCGGAGCTGAGAGCTGCAAGTTCCCAAAGGCTGGGAGGGTTACTTACCAAGCAAAGAGAAAACAAAGTCCTTGGCCTGGAGGAGATCTGGTCCTGGCTTGGGACCTTCACTCCAGCTCGCCTGCACACCCAGCTCCTGGATCAGCTGGGTTAGTTCTTGCAGCTGCGCCCCAGAGCAGAAGTCGATGTCCGTGAGCGGCCGGGCTGGGGCTGGGGGCGGTGGGCCCCACCAGGGAGCACTCCCCCAGACTGTGGAAGCCATATGGCTCTGTCGTTTGGGGGATAGGATATACACAGACGGGAGGAAGCCCAGACGGGTCGTTCCTTTTGCCGCGGAAAACTGGCCCCCGTTCTTTTCTCTTCCAGAGGCCAAGAGGGTTCCCAAGACACAGTCCGCCAGTGGGTCTGCAGACGAAGGGTCCTAAATTTAGCCTTGAAAGAGAACAAATAAATACCTCCTCCGTCCTTGCCCTTTTATCATATGCTGGTCCCCCGCCCCCATGGAACGGTTCACCTGACTCAGCAGGTAGAAAGTAGCTGTTTGGCCCCTCCTAAGGAATGCAATAGCCTCCTTCGCTGCCCCTTGTCTGCGTCCCCTTACCTCTTTTTCAGAAGAGGCTAGTGGCTTGCGGCTTCCCTCTTAGGGTTAGCTACAAAGGCTGGGAAGACAATGGATAGGAAGATTCAACAGGTAGCTTCTTCCTGCTGCCTGCAAGGTCACGCCCCTAAATTATAACCACGCCCCTTTCTGGAGACTGTCGGGGTGGTTCCGGACCAGCCCGGCCTCCACTCAGAGTTCAGTCACTCCTTTTGCTCTGCAGAGATCTCGCGGCTATCCTGGGAGTTGTAGTTTGTCTTCAAAGCTACCAGGGCGTTGGGGCCACGCACCCACATCCTTTCCTGTTCCGTTGAAGTAGTGCCTGATGGAAGTTGTAGTTTCTATGGAGATAAACTATTCTGTGTCTTTACAAGGCCAGGTGAACCGCACAAACACTCCTTGGGGTTAGGATGGATCTGAATAGCAAACAATAATGAGGGACATACACTAGGGCATGCAGAGAAATAGGGCACTCTACATCTCACTTGGGAATAGAGGAGCCCTGGTCATTTAAACCTAGAAGGGTTCTTGCATGCAATTATAACTTCATTTTAGAGATGAGACTGCAAGCCTAGAAAGGTTGCACATGACTTATCCAAGGTCAGAGCTGAGCCAGAGAGCTGTTGGAAATGGGCTCTCCAGCTGGGACGTATCTCCTTGGAATCGGTGTTGGTAACGTTAGACAAGAACACACCGATAGTGTGCATGTAGTGACCCAGGAATAGACGTCTGACTCAGGGAAGGGACATATTAGTGTTGCCCACCTCAGACACACAAGTGGTGGCAGGGAAAACACTTTGGAATCTCGCAGCTTATGTGTGTATACAGAAGAGTTATCAGGACCGAAAATCAAGTTCAGAGGAAACTCCAGCTGGGCTAGGGCAGGGCAATGAAAAATTATCAGGGGAAGGAAATGGCTTTCAGCGACCAGTGCTATCATGGACACAGCTTAAGTCCAGGATAAAACTAGGAGCCAGAATAATAGGACAGAAACATAGGACACCAGAGACACGCTCACAGATTAGACCAATGCATACTGGACCAGGAATTCTTACATGCCTTTTTCCCAGGGGTCTGTCTCCACAGTGAACTAGGCCTAAGTCCATGGGCAGGAAAATTAAGTGGAGACACCTCGAAAAAATTTGAGGCCTATGAAGGAGGGTACCCTCAGAATCCAGAGCTCAATTTGGGGAGCCTAAAACACAAGGTTTACTAGTCACTGACAAAGAGAGGTCTTCTCCCTCAGTAACCAAGAGCCCCAAACACAGCCCAGAACGGGGGAGGCAAGTTTCCATACATCTGGTCGTGACCCAAGAGACCAGATGAGGAAAACTGAAGCCTGTGCTCTTTCTCACAGTCTGGGGAAATCAGGCCTTGGGTGTCCATCCCTACATCTTACCTCCTCCCCAGAGGGTGGCTTCTGAGCCACCCTAAAAAGAACTAAGTTCTCTGGGCTCTGGGCGAGCTTTAAGATGCTGGGGGTGGGCGACAGGGAAAGGAAAATTGCTCTAAACTCTAAAGCACTGCTCTCCAATAGCATTTTCCATGATGATGGAAATGTTCTAAATCTGTGCCGTCCAATACAGTAGCCACTAGCTCCATGTGGCTACTGAGCACTTAGAAGGTCATGGCACTGAGGAACAGAATTTTTTTTTTTTGGCCAAGCCATGAAGCTTGCAGGGTCTGAGTTCCCCAACCAGGGATTGAACCCCAGCCACAGCAGTGAAAGCGCCAAGTCTCAACAACTGGACCGCCAGGGAACAGAATTGGATGCCAGGGAAATTCTGTTCCCTGAGGAAGAGAAGTTTTAACTTTTTAACTTAATTTTTAACAGAATTAATTTTCCTTAATTTTAACTAATTTATATTCTAATAGGCATTTGGCTAGTGGCTACTGTAATTGACAGTGCAGCTCTAGGGCCTTGGGGATAATGGATTTAGCTAGATAGTGATGGAGAGAAAGCAGGGATAGTTTAGGCCCTCATCAGGCCCTGTGGGATGGGGCTGGGGTGGATGTCCTCAAGCAACCACAGAACACTTCTCTTGTCTCTTTATTCCTCATGCATATCTGTTCCCTCTTTTTCTAAGTTGCTCATCACACACTGATATCCCCACTCCTTGATGGTCTCCGGTGAGTTGTTGGATGTCTCTTGGTGACGGCGCCTGGGACACAGAGCTTTGCACTTGTCCCTGCCTGCTCTGAACTGTCTCTGGCGGGCGTCAAAGACCACATGCCCGAGCCGGGTGCCTGATCCAGGACAGTAGGGCTTCCAGCTGGTTTTGGGAGGCGTAGACATCTGGCAATAGTTCTGGCAGGCTGCAGGTACTGTATCCATTTGCTGGTACACCCAGTCTTGGCTGCCTGCTCGTCGGGAGGGTGATTGCAGCTCAGTCAGTACAGGTACCGCTGAGAAGGTTTGCAGGTCATTGTAGGCCACCTGAGCCTTGAGAGAGCAGGAGTTCTGACTCGGTGGGACAGAAGTCCATGGTATGTGCTGCCCTGCATCCTCCTTTCAAGGAACTGCCTCAGATATAAATGACTGTCGGGTCTGATGTGGGCCCAAAACTTGGACAGAGTCAGTTCCTAGAGGGTTCTTGTGGAGGCCAGGATTTGGGATAAGGCATGAGTTGTTATGGAGGCCTGATCTCTTGGATAAGCCAGAGAATTGAGTAAGGGCTGGACCCTTTTGGGGGCCAGGATCTCGATTAATTCCTGAGTACTTGTGTAGGCTCGGGTAATGGGTATGTTCTGAGCCCCTGTAAATTCCAGCATCTTGGGTAAGGCCTGGAAGCTTGTGGAGGCCTGGATCTTGAGCAAGCCCTGAGTTCTTGAGGAGGCCTGGGTTTGGGGTAAGGCCTGGGTTTCAGGAAACTCTGCAGACTTTGGAAGGGCCTGGGGTCCTTGGGAGGACAGAGCCTTTGGTTGAGGCCTAGACTCTCATGAAGTTCGGGGGGTTAGGGCTGGCTTGGAGTCTGGGAAGCAGTGGGTAACTGGGGAGGGATGGGGCCCTGGCAAGAGAGGACAGACTGAGGAGACTTGGACGTTGTGGGAAAGGTGGGGGGTTGTATTAAGGTGGAGGGCTTCTGGTGGTTGCTGTGTTGATGAAGGACCCAGGATCTGGGAAAAACAACAGGCAGATAAAGAGTGCATGGTGGAGGCATGGTGCATGGTGAGCTCTGCGCACTGGTTGGAGAATGGAAGCAAGGTTGAGAAGGTGCAGCATCCTTGGAGTATAGGAATTCGCGGTAGACTGGAGGCTGGGGGTCCGTGTTTCTCTTCTCAGACCCGCAAGGAAGGAAGCTGCAGTAAGGGAAGGTCTTGGACTATACACATTTGTCTTTGGCATCATTTGAGATCTTCCATTCCATATTCCCTAACTCCAGGTAACCCAGTATGGATCCTGTGGAGGGCTTAGCACTGTCCCCACTACATTGCTTGAGTGTTTGCTCAGCTGTACCAGAGCTCACCAGACCATGCCCCTCTTGGGGCCTGGAGAGGGTACCCAAGTCCTTTCTGGAATAGCCAGAGTTCTGAGGGTGACACACGTGGAATAAGTTCTGCTTTACCCTGAGGGCATCGTAGACCACACAGCCGGAGGAGAGGCCTTGGCTGAAGGCAGACAAGGTAGAGGGAATACAATCTAGGATGGGGGTAGGGGTGGTGGAAGGGACTGGAGTGGTCGTCAGGGCCATGACCAGCGCTGGGACAGAGGTTGTGGCAGAGATCGGGACAGGGGCTGGTGTAGGGGCTAGGGCAGGAGTAGTAGCAGGGGCAGAAGTTGGGGGAGGGACCAGAGTGCTGGCATGGGTATAGGTCAGATGAGCGTGGGTCAGGGTGCAGACAGAAGTGTGGCCCAGGGACTGGGCTGAGGCATGTGAGGGGGCCTGGGCTTGGGCCTGGGCTGGGGTATGGGCTGAGGTTTGCTCAGGGCCATGGACCTGGGCAGGGCTGTGCTCAGGGGTGAGGGCTGGGGACGGGGTCTGGGCCTGGGGGGTGGTGTGCTCGGGGGGTGGAATGTGGAGCAAGTCTGGGCCTGAGGTGGGGTGTGCTCAGAGGGGTGGGTGGAGGAAAAGGTCTGGGCTTTGGCAGAGTGTTCCTAGTGGGGTGCACTAGGGAGGAGGCCTGCGCCTGGGCGGGGCCTGGGGGGGGGTGTGCGCAGGGGGGTGGGCTGAGGGGGTGGTCTGGGCCTTGGCAGGAGCATGCGCAGGGGGCTGAACTGGGGGGCGGGGCTGGGCCCGGGCTGGGGCCTGGGCTGGGTCAGAGTCTGGGGTCTTAGTCTTGCACTCTTGGGGCAGGCGGAGTGGAACCACGTCCACCTTGCTCATCCTGCGGAGCTTGGAAGATGTCTCTTACCTGGAGTAAAAGTTGGCTTGGGACTTTAAGGCTGTGACCGGAGGGGCCTCCCCAGCTCCCACTATCCGCTCCTTCCACAGTCCCCGTGGAGCTTCCGTGGAAGCCCCAGCCCGTCCACACTGAGGCGGCATCCGGCAGCACTTAGAAGCCTTCTCATCTTTTGTGTCTGGTATCCAGGAGTCAAGGTGGTTTCGGTGCCCAAGCAGGAAGCTTGGGCGATGGCGGAAGCAGGAAGAAACTCTTGAGCACAGGTTCTAGGGATCCACGGAGCAGCGCATGCACATGGCGATGGCTGCCTACACAGCTGGCTT